CCCCACCCCAGCAGCGTTTTGGCTCTGCCCAGCCCGGCGCGGCCGCTCTCGGTGACTAAACCCCGGCCCCGTCCCTCCAGGGCGGCAGGGGAGTTCCCGACAGCTCCAGGTTCGCTCATACAGTACGTGAGTAAACAGAGGAAAAGAAGCAGGACAACCCGCGGGTGAGTTGGGGCCGTCGTTTCCAGGTGTGCCTGCCTCACAGTGCTCTATTTACATAAATTACAGAAATTTCATATATATTTTTCTCTGAAGCCCAATTAGACAAATATCTACCTATATATAATATAAAAAATACAGAGATTTGGCTTTTTTTTTTTTGAAGTAAAATGTACATGATCCGACTGTGAGGAGGAGGTAAACCTGAAAACTCAGGCCTGTTGCTACTGAAGTTAACACCGCACACAACACCGCTGTCAAGTGTAGCTACGTCCTCTTCCACCCATAAAAATGACCCACCCCAACCCAAGTCTGAAAAAAAACCCCTAGAACTCAAAAAAAACATGTTCTTGTGAAAAAAAAAATATTTCAAGTAAAGATGAAGATGAGTTTTCACCATTTCAACAGTCCTGTGACTTCAGTCAGTAGCAATGCAAACAAAGCCTGTGCAACACAGCTGTGCTTCCTGTTTCAAAAACCACCCAAGCATCCCGCCCCTCTTCCTACTTACCATCTTTGGGGTCTTGTTGCCTTTTTTTTTTTTCTCTTTAAACTCCTTGTAAATACCACTAGCAGTTCTTCAAAACAAAACAAAAAAATTTAGACAAAGGGAAGGAGCCTTCCCCCCAGAAAAACCTTCCCAGGAGTGGGAGAACTTCCTATTTCTCTGTCCATGTACAGTATCTTTCAGGGGAACTTGGCCCAGGTTCAACAGGACTGTCCGCTGAAGGAGGGTCGCAGAAAGGCCAGGGCTAAGCTTTGCTCTTGGCAAATTAGAGTCTTTAATAAAGAGTAACATGTGCAAAAAAATTAAATAGATCAACTCAGGTTTCCAGAATTACTGTTGTCAGAATGCTTAACTTCCTATTTGTGTTCTTACCCAACCCAATGCTGCAATCTCAATTAAGTACCCGAGGTAAGAAGTGACATTTGGGAGAGATCACCACAAAGAAAAAACAAAACCCAAGAGGTGCAATCTGTTACTTCAGTGTCCTTCCTCCACCCAGATGCCTGCTTTAAAGACACGTACGCAGCAGCAAAAAAGAAAAAAGGTGTAAGAACATCCCCTTCTCTCCACGAGGACAAAGCACTGTTTCTAGTTGTTTGAAGGAAGAACAGTTTCCTAGCAGGTGGAGTGGGTGTTTAGCCTTCCGTTTGCGAGGAGGGGATGGGGCAATCAGCTGCTCCCGGTTGCTTTCCGGCAAGTTTGTGGTGGGTTTTTTTTCTTCCCCCTGGGCACATTATAGCTGGAAACCTTCCATGGGGGCTTCAGGTTGCTGGAAGATGAATTGCTGTTGGTTCTCATCTACCTGGGGGGCTAGAGCGGAGTCATCCTCTACTCCAAAGTAGTGCTCAATCAAGTCAAAGGCCTTCTGGTAGATCTCTTGGTTCTCATGGCTTTGTAGAAACTCTATCTTATCCAAACCTTGGAGGGGAAAAAAAAGCGGAACGCGATGAAACAAAGAGATCCTGATGTTCACACTGTCCCACATCCACCCTCCACCCTCGCCCCTATTCCCTGAAAGACCTCTGTCCGTGTTAAGATTTGCATTTTGTGAGCAGCACCGACATCTACAGCAAACGATTCCAGAGCTGCTTGTGGATTTCATCCGTACCCGGCAGCACGAAGGACTTTTCAGCAGTGGGTTTAGCTGACACAGCTAAAGCAGATGTGCTCCCAGCAGCCAGATTGGAACAACTGGCTGCAAACAGCCTGGGAGCTGCAGGGGGTAGGGAGGGGAAGAAGCAGGGCCTGTCCCAGTAGCCTCCAGCAGAAGGGCACCGACAGCTTTAGCTGCCCTAATTAAATCCACTGCTGAACAGAAAGCATCCAAGCACAACACACTCTCAAGAATTTCAAGAATTATTCTGACTGGGAGAATCAGGACACACAGTGTAAAAGTCAGCGAGAGGGCAAATCAGACACGGGCAGCATACTGGGAGTTTCAGACTGAAATAGGAACTGCTCCTCAAAGCATTAAGAGCAGGACAAAAAAAACCCACCCAATTAAGTCGCTCCAGGGAAGAGCTAAGTCTCTCTGGATTTCCACTATACATCTACAGCGTTCACCTGGGTACAGTTAGAGCAACGTTAGACCCAGAAGCGTCACTTTTTACTTCACTCAGCTTATTTCCCATTAATACCCCCCAAGGGGCACGAGCCACATTTATCAGCTTGGCCCTCAGGTCTAGGAAGCCTGGATCAGGAGCACGATAGCTCTTACTGCCAAGTATTTTGTCCTACGCCCCATCAGAAGAGTCTATTGGAACAAACATTGGCTAGTTCGGGTTATACTAAATCCCTTAACACACCAACAAAACCAGCAGACACTTTTCGATATATCCCGTGGTGTTCAAACTCAACGGCACCACGGCCACCAGCCACAACCTACCGTAGGCCTCCTCGATCAAGCTACAGTACGGGTTGATGCCCGTCCCGCTCTGGTTGGCTTCCTGCTCTCCAAGCCTCAGGATGTTCTCCAGGCCGTTCAACGCCACCTGCACAATCTTGGAGTCCATGACAGTCAGCAGGTCACACAGAGGCTTGATACAACCCAAGTTTACCAAGTACCTGAAGGGAAAGCGCCAACAACAGACACTTGATTAGGATCCAACAAGCTTCACCTTTGCTCAGCCAGAAAAAGCAAGGGAAAGGAGTCAAACTAAACCACAAAAAGTTACCTCAAATTAGATATCTCCAGTTCTGCAAGGTGAATTTTTATCCTCTTATTTGCATTTGTGTACACACCCCGTCTCTTAAGAAACCTGCTAACTCCCTTTGAAATCCAGGTGCTGCTCTAAGTCCACACTGGAATTTAATTTGTCATCAAGTTTGGACATTGTGATTAGTCTAAGCTACCTACGGGGGGGGGCAGGAGAGGTTGGACTGCCTTATCCTTATTCAGAAGGAATTTACAGCGCTGCATACGATGCAGCTATAGCTTTGCCTGCGCCTCAGGTACTCTCTCGGGGGTTCTCCAAATTTCTCCCTTGCTAATTATCTCACCATCCCCACAAAGACAAAGCTCCCATACCTTCAGACAGCTTTTCCCTAGGAGGAGCCACGGGCAGTACCTGATCTGTTCGGGAGTTCCTCCTGACGTTGCGTTTGTAATAGCCCACGCTGCCTCTTTCCTCGTGCGGAATTCTGCTTTCTGCAAGATTTCTATCAGTACCGGGAAAATGTTTGCATCTATGACCGCCTGGGGAGAGAGAGAGAGAGCAGCGACAAGTGTTTGAGCTGGCAACGCCGTTTCTGAAAGGCTGGAAGAAACCCCTACCCCCATTTTCCAACACAAAAGAACTTCCCAAGCTGTACCCTTCAGCGATTCCTCCATTTCATTCCTCAGCCAAATCCTGTCAACACGAGATACTCCATCCCATAACTAGCCCAGCAGTCA